AGTCTATAGACTTGGTATGAAAAAAAGAATGTAAGATAGCTCATTAACAAATTTTTATATTGGTTGCATATTAAAATATTTTGAATGTATTGAATCAAATAATATTTTAATAAAATATTATTAAAATACAATTTACCTGCTTACATTTACTTTTTCTAGTGGTACCAGGAAGTTTTAAATTACATTTATGGCTTCCATGATCTTTCAACCAGTCAGTACGAGGCTGACTTGATGACATTTGTATTCATGCCACCTTTGCACTGCCCACCAGAGGGCACTGTACCCTCGCAGTGGGGTCAGGCAATCTGAAATTTGAGGGAAAGGGAAGTAGTTCAGACAAACTGTTGGTCCTTTGTGGTTGTTGTCTTAGATCAACTCTTACAAACAGACCCGTGTTTGCCCTGTACTATCTCTCGCCATGTGAGGGAAACCGATCTACCTCTGGGTAAGGATGCTGCCCCTAACCCTCACTTATTCTGCTGGTGGTGGTTGGAGAGGAAGAATTAAGCCTGCAAAGACAACTTGCCATTTCTGCAGCATTCACTGGACAGCTACTGTATGCCACACTCTCCTAGCTCGAGGTGATTCTCCCAAGAAATTCATCCAACAGACAAGGATGTTTCCTCTTTCCTTTTTCCAAGTGAGAAAACTGAGGCTCAGAGAGGGAAAGTGAATTGCCCGAGTGGCCCAGCAGAGCTAGGCTTTGCACCCAGCTCCATCCGGGCAGCGCCTTCTGGGACCTTCCCCTGAGCCGGCCACTTCCCAACCTCTAATTAACTCCTGAGAGGTGGTGGGCAGACGCAGCAGCAAGGACACTCTTTATCTGTCCACATCAGGCCAGAGGAGCAGCCAATAATTCATTCTGAATTTTTCCCATTTATCACAGTGGCAGGAGCCAGAATGCCTGGAATCCCAATCCCGAGCCCCTGTGCCCCTCGGCCACCTGGAGCTGGGCACGATGGTGACAGGAACTGAGGCAGGGGGCCTTCATTGAGCCTGAGAAGGGAGGATGTCCCTGGTACCCCAGTCCCGTACACTGGCTTATTTTTTATATGTATATGTTATTGTTGATAGCACACACTGGGTTATTAAATGCCGCGTGATCCAGTGGTGACCGGCTGAGACCCCTTCCCAGCCGTCACGGTGCCCCCAGGCTCGCAGAGAAAAACATACATTGAATGAATAACAATCTAAATAATTAATGCCACAAAGGGGAAGAATTCAAGGAATTCTGTTGTGTCCAGAATTCAAGGAATATGATGATGGTGTGAGAATACAAAACTGGAGACTTGTTTAGGGCCTCCCCAAGGAAGGGACAGGGAACCTGCAAATCGGAGAAAGAAAGATGAGGGGTGAGCAGAGGGAACTCCACACTTAGAAACAGCACATGCAAGTGCCTGTAGCTAGAAAGCGTGGGACCCCAGCCCGGGGCCTGGTGGGTCTGGAGCTCAGAACACAAGGGTGAGGTCAGTGCCTAGTCGGAGCCCTCGGGGCTGGGCCGGAGCCCTCACAGTGAGGCCGGCAGCCTGCAGGGGATAGCCCGGCCGCGAGGGGAGAGACCAGCAAGTTTCCCGGATGCTGCAGGGGTGGCAGGGAGGCCGTTTCCTCCCAGGTGAGTCAGATGGCAGGCTGGGTGGTCAACTCCGGGACTTCTTTGTTTTGTTTTTTTTCTTACAACCCTTTTCCCCTTGGAGGATTCTTTCAAACCCATTTGGACACGGGGATGAGTCAGGATCTCTCTGCCAACAAACAGCCTGTGCCATGAGAGTAGCTCCTGGCGCAGCCGCCCTAAACACCTCCCTCCTCTGGCGGTGGGAAAACGGAGGCCCAGAGAGGGACAAAGACCACCCAAGGTCACTCAGAGGACGTCTGTGTCTGGGATCCCAGGAGCAGCCCCCACGCTGTAGCCTGTCTCTTCTGCTGGACCTGAAGCCCCAGGAGGGCCCACGGCTGGGTGTCCTGGTCACCGCGCTGTCCCAGTGTAAACTGGAGGTGCTTAATCAGTTATTTCAAACTGCATGGCCCCAGCAGCTTTTGAAAATGTCCAAGGTCACATTCAGGGCGTGGGGGGGGGCGGGGGGGAGAGGAGGTTCTTTTAATTGAGTTCAGGGAGGGAGGGAGGGAGGGAGGGAGAGAGAGAGAGCAGGACTGAAGCCGGAGGTCGGGTAAGTGTGGTTTCTAGCAAAGCCACAGGTGCCTTCTCTGGGAACTGTCTGGATTTACTTGCCACCCAGGAAAATTCCCCTTGACATTCTGAGAGCACAGACCAGGTGGGCAGCTAAGGCAGGAGGTGGCTCCTCCCTGGGACGCCGTGGGCCCGAGAGAGAGAAGTGGCTGCCAAGTCTCACCCGAAACTTCTCACAGCCCAGACTTGCTCCTGGGGTGGAGCCAGGAGCCCGAGAGGCCCTGGGGTGGGGGGCGGGCTCCCCCAGTTTCTCAGCCCAGAGAGGGGAGGCGCCTGGCTTGGGGTCCCCCAGAATAGGATTCAAGGGGAAAGGCATTCCTGGCAAAGGAAACCTCTTATGCAAAGGCCTGGACGTGAGCAAGAGGAAAGGGTGAAGGCAGCGCTTAGTTATGAAGTTTGAATTTGATTTTGTTTTCAAATACTTAATCTTTTGTTCAATACACATTCAAAGACAGCCCGCCCCTCTGTACCTAGTCCCAACCTGGATGACCCCAGGTGCCCAGAGGCAACCCCCAGACTGGGAGGACACACAGACCTCCCAGTTCCAAGAGGCAGGCGTGGGCCAGAAAGAGGGATGGAGGCTGCAGGACCCCGGTGTGGTCTGGGAGAGAGCGGTAGAGCCCACATGGAGGTGGGGCGTTAGTGGTGGGCACTGAAAATTTAGGGGTGTGCCAGGTGCAAAAGACTGAAAAGGGCATTCTGGGTAGAGAATATGCATATGCAAAGGTCTGGAAGTGTGTCATTACCAGGCGGGTGCTGGAACTGTCAGGGTGTACCGTGACACTGCTGGCCCCAAGTGGCCATGGCCGGACCAGAAAGAGAGACCGGGGGCCACAGAAGCCCAGAGGGAAATAGAGGCTCTTCTTAGAGGATCAGAAATGGCTTCATGAAGAAGGGGCACTGGAGCTGGGGTTTTCAAGGATAAATAGAAGCTTGCCAAACAGAGAAGGTAAGGCATGCAAATGGAGCAGAAAGGTTGTGTCCAGAATTCAAGGAATATGATGATTGCCGAAACTGGTTTGGCTCAGTGGATAGAGCGTCAGCCTGCGGACTGAAAGGTCCCAGGTTCGATTCCGGTCAAGGGCATGTACCTGGGTTGCAGGCACATCCCCAGTAGGAGATGTGCAGGAGGTGGCTGATCGATGTTTCTCTCTCATCGATGTTTCTAACTCTCTATCTCTCTCCCTTCCTCTCTGTAAAAAATCAATAAAATATATTTAACAAAAAAAAAAAAAAAAAAAAAAAAAAGGAATATGATGATGGAGTGGGAGGAGAAAGGAGGGCGGAGGAATGGGCAAGTCAATGCGAGATTTCTCCAGATCCAAGCTCAGCAGCCTGCCGTTTAAGGCCAAGAAACCCCGTGAGCCTGTCCAGCCACTGCCAGCTCTTCTCCTTGGGTCATAGGAACCACCCACCTTGGCCGATAAGGACACTTGGTGGGGACACATTCCCAACGTGGCCCCGGGACCTCAGGTCAGGCTTGTGCCTCGGTTTCCCCATCTGGAAAATAGTGACACCAGAAGCCATTTTTGCTGTCTGTGTTCATCTCAGGAATGGGGGGTGGGGGGGGGTCTTCAACAAATAATGTGAAGGAAGGGAAGGAGGGACAGAAGGAAGGGGAGGGAGGGAAGGAAAGAAAGGAAGGAAGGGAAAGGGAGGGGAGGAAAGGAAAAAAGAAGGAAAGGGAAAGGGAGGAGGAAAGAAGGGAAAGGCTTTGTATCTCGCCTCCAGACCCACACCAAGGGACAGGTCCAACATTATTATTTCACAACATGCCAGAGCTGCCGAGGCTTAAGAAATGGGTGGCGATTTGCATGTCATTTGCATTAAATTTGCATAGTGTTTGTTAACTGGTGAAAACTCCCTGAAAGTGCTTTCCCCACACCCCCATCCCCTCTAGACGCAGGAAACCCTCCCCCATCCTCACCCGGGACCCCCTGCTTGGGCTGAGGACCCCTCAGTTCAAGGGCTGCTGGAGTTGCAGCCTGGAGGGGCGGGTGGTGACCTTGGACACCCCATCTGTAAAATGGGCCATAATCATAGCCACCACCGCTGTTAAACAGCACAGCTGGCCCCACACGTCTGTGGGACAGACCCTGGCAGGGAGGGGCTGAGGACCTGAGCTGGGATGATTATTAAAAAGCCCCACCTCCCTGCTGGGCACTGGAAGGAGGGGTCCCTGGGCCCCCAAGTGTGTGTGCACCCACATGCCCATGCATGTGACCCAGGGACAGAAGCCCAAACCAGGCAGAATAGGGGCCTGGGCTGCCTCCCCCACTGTGCACCCACAGGGCGCTTGGGAACCACCTCAGCGGGATAACCTGGGTGACAGCACTGCACCTCCCAGGGAGCCGGGCCTGGTGCCCTCCCTGCAATAGGCAAACGGGGTCTGAGCACACTGTCCCCACAGCCATGATTTCTTATCTACCTCTCTCCGCTCCGGGCCTTGCGGCCAACATGACTCTTTCTTAATTAAAACATTATTTCTTCCCAGGCTCCCGTGCCTCTTCCCCGCACGAGGCCAGCAGCTGGAGCGTGAACGCCACACCACTCGCGGGCCCGACCCTCCACCCACAACCAGCCTCCTGGTCTGCGCAAAGGACCAGACTCCACGCGGCTGCAGGTCAGAGATCCAACCGAGGCCCCGCGTTCTATCTGGGGGGTCTTGTACCCAGAATTCTCACAACACACTGCCTGGAATGTCCTCAAAATCACCACCCATGACACAAGGCTCAGCATGGAAATCAGGGTGAGCGGCTGCAGCCAACAGTAAGGAGCTGTTGTCGGCATCTGGGACCGCGCAAAAACGTGAATGTGGTGGGGAAAAAGAAAAAGAAAAGATTACCACCCAAGCCTCAGTGCTCTACCAGGCACAGGGACCCCCAGATCTCTGCCTACTCGACCAGAGTCCTTCCGACGCAACCAGGAAACCCCATGCAGCAGGCAGGGGGCAAGGCATTAAGGGAGGGCACTCGAAGGGGGCGGGCACAGATGCAATGAGAGGAGGTATTGGGGAAAAGGGTAGAACACAGAACGCCGCTGGAGAACCGGGAGAGGGCTGCGTCCCCCAGTCTCCACCTTCAGTCATTTGAGATTTCCTGAGCGACTGGCTATACCCCACAGCCAAGGCTGTTCACAGTAGAGGGGCTTGTGGGGACCCACAAGAGGATGCGGTGCTCACTGGCTGGGCAGGAGGGCATCCGAGAAGACTTCCTGGAGGAGGCTGGAATTCCAGGTGGGCTGGAGCCGCAGAGAGGGGTGTGGAAGGTGCCTTTGGCAGGGGCACAGCTTGGGCCAAGAGAATGTACAAGGTAGGAGAGGTGCTGCCTGATTTCCTCTCCTCTCTCCTTTGTGCTTCTCTTCACACGCTGCCCAAGCTGGCACAGTGGTTCCTGTGGCATGGCCTCAGGGTCACACAGTACAACCTGATTGGCTGGGTTGGGGCGACAATGTCCTCGCTCAGTGTCAGGGAGTGGGGCTCCCTCAGGACTGTCCATGGCAGTGGGCATCAGCTGGTCAGGCCAGTGTTTCACTGTCCACCCTAGGAGCCCAGAACCTGGAACGGCAGGAGGGGTGGACAAAACAATCTCAGTTCGGGCCGTTAGGAGCATGAAACACCGGCTCTCTGGCCAGGTTTCCTTCTTCCCTTTTCCCTACTCTCCCCTCCCGACGGATGTGGACAGCAACACCTGCAGTCACTCCCTCCTTCCCCACGGGCCTGGTGCCCCCCAGGAGGGACAAGGATGGCCCTTTAGCCACAGGTAGCCAGCCATTCTTAGAGGGAGCTTGGCTGTTTGGAGCCACCTGGTGGGAGCCACGGGAATTCAGGCAAAGAGCACAAAGTGAGGAGGCGGGTGACAGAGCCCAGAGACGCAGTCATTCACCCAAAGCCACACAGCAAGTCTGGGCAACATCATTCATGTTAGGGGCAACGCGGTTAGTGTAAAGGTAAGTGGGAAGGCAAGGGCAGTGTCCTTGCCCAAGGGGTAAAAAGCACAGGGGTTTGGAGTCGGGGGGCGGGGAGGGGAGAGGTGACACTCAAAAGAGGTGAGTCCCTTCTCCTCTCTGGGCCTCATTTTCCCCCAGCTGTGGTCCTCACAATAGGTAAGGTCCCTGGAATGACTTACCTCCCGAAGGTGTCCCCCACCCAGCCTGCTCCTTCAGCCGGCATCTTCGGTCCCCTCGGTCATGGCTCCACCTCCTCCAACCCAGACTACCTGAAGGAGGACAGAAAGACACAGATTGCAGACCGAACACAGCCCTCACCTCAGCGCTCACGGGCTCGCCTATCTGCGCAGTGTCTGGCTGATGCATCTTCCCACATCTGCCAGGACTTACCCCCAAGTCAGAGACCTTCTCCCCCACATCCAGGAACTGCTAGGGCTCCAGGAAAGTGCTCTGAGCAGCCCTTTCCTCCCCTCCAGACAATACATTCCACAAATATTTATTGAGCACCTACTATGTGCCAGGCAGCAGTGAAGAGGATGAACAAAAATCCCTCGTAAAGTTTATAGTCTGCTGGAGGAGATGGAGTTAAAAAGCAAATTAGAAAAATATAGAGAAGTCGGGTTGGTAAGTGTCAGAGAGAAAGATAAAAGCAGGGATGGGGCCTGGCTGGTGTGGCTCAGTGGTTGAGCACTGACTCATGAACCAGAAGTTCACGGTTTAATTCCTGGTCAGGGCACATGTCGGGGTTGCGATCCCCAGTAAGGAGGTGTGCAGGAGGCAGCCGGTCAGTGTTTCTCTCTCATCATTGATGTTTATCTCTCTCCCTATCCCTTCCTCTCTGAAATCAATAATATATATATATATATATTATATAATATATATATATATATAATATAAGTTCTGCCAGGACTTATATATCTGAACAAAGACCTGAAGGAGCTGAGGGAGGGAAGGAGGAAGGTGTAAAACATTCCAATCTGACATTAATCATGTTTATTTGGTTTCATGTCTGCTCCGAGAGGGCAGGCCTAGTCTGAGTCCCCACTGGGTTCCAGTGCCCAGCACATGGCCTGGCACACAGTAGGCACTCAATAAATGCTTATTGCGTATTGAACGTGATTATAGTGTGTGGATGTCTGGGGTTGTCCAGCTTCCAGACCTTGTAGAATAAGGTGCACTGCCAGGAACACCCTCTCCCAGCCCGAGCCCCCACCCCCCATCGGTCACCATCCCACCGTCTCCCCCTACCCCTGAGATCCTTCCTCCCACACACACACCTTGAGTCTCCAGGACCAGCATCTGAGGCTCCTGCTCTCAAAACATCACCCAGGCTTGGCAGACCAGCCTCGGTGGCCCGACAAGCACGACCCCCATGAACTCCAGGGTTACACATATGGCTCCAGTGTGTCCCCTGCCCAACATCTCCAAGGTGGAGCTCTGTGGCCAGCCCCTGCCGGTCTCCCCCACCTCCCGGGGCAGCCCCAGGCCTCCATGTGTGCTCTTCCCACGGCCCAGAAGCCCTTCTCTGCAGACCCCTCGGGGTCACCCTGGCCAGGACTCCAGATGGCCAGGTCAGAGTGGAGGCAGCAAGTGTCAGGATGGGAATGTGGGTGGGCAGGTGTAGTGGGGGAGAGAGAAGGACCAGAGACTCCGAAGGACAGAGACAGAGCCAAACAGAGACAGACATGCACCGAGAGAGACGTAGGGAGAGAGAGACAGAGAAAAGAGCAGAGACAGAATGGCCAGACGGAAATGGACAGAGCCATAGAGAGGCAGAAAGAATGATGGGAAGTGGAATAAATAGGACAGCACCGCGCAGAGAGGGAGACAAAGAAAGGGAGGGGAGGCCAGAGGCAGACAGAGGCAGAGGAAAGAAGGAAGCAGGCAGGGGGCATCCAGCCGCCCTTCTGGCATCGCCGGTGCCTGCCTCCTCCATTCCTGTTCCAGCCGATACCCACCAGGACAGTGCTGGGCCGGGGGAGAAGGCGCTCCGGGGCCGGGAAGGACCCCTCGTCTACCCGCCCGCCCACGTCCCACCTACCCGGACCCCAGCCAGGCCCTGACTCACTCCCATCCCCCACCCCCACAGGCCCTCCGGTTCCCTGCCTCCTCTGCCAGCCCGGACCCCCTCTCACTCCCGGGACCCCAGCCCCCCGGCCCCGCAACCTGGGGTCGCTGACGAGCAGCAGCACCGAGCCGTCCTGCAGGCGCACGTCGCGCACCGTCTGGTGGTCGTCCAGCCGCCGCGGGTTGTAGTAGAAGGTGCGCTTACAGTTGCTCGCCACCATGGCCCACCAGCTGGTCGCGCAGGTCGCTGATCGCGTCGCGCGGCCGCACGGTGACCGACAGCAGCAGCGCCTCGTCCGCCATGTGCAGTTAAATGTGGTAGCGCTTCCAGCGCGACAGGCCCCGCCGAAGCCCCTCCATGGCGCCCGCCGGGCGCTCCCCGCCCGGCCCCGGCCCCGGCCCCTCGTGCCCAGCGCACCCGCCCGACAGGACGAGCAGCCCGCCCCCGCCGCGCCCCGCCCGCCCGCCGGCCACGCCCGCTGGGCCCGAGGGAGGTCCCTTGAGGGCGGGGCAGACCGAGGGCCGGGCGGACCGAGGGCCCCTCGTCCCCACCCGCAGACACCCCGCCGGTCATGCACTGATGTATCAAGTGCCTACTGGAAGCGCCCCGGATACCCGCGAACAAAACCCACAATAAGGAAGCACATCACAATGCACCCTGTCCTGGGAAGGGCTAGGGAGCGAAAAAGAAGGCAGGGAAGAGAGGTTGGTGACTCTCTTAGAGATCTAGGTCAAGAGAGATCTCTCTGAGGAGGTGGCATTTGAATTGAGTTCTGAAGGTGAGAAGCAGTGAGTCAGTCAAGCAAAGGGTCAAGAGTGCTGCAGACGGGGGCGGGAACAGCACATGCAAAGGCCCTGGGGCAGGGTCATGCCTGCTGGCTGGAGCAGAGTGAGCAAGGGGGAGAGAGGGAGGAGGGGAGGTCAGGGAGGTGATGAGGGACAGGTCTTACAGAGCCATGTGGGCCTTGGGGAGGACTTGGGCTTTTACCCTGAGGGAGGTGGGAACACTGGAGGGCTGTGGGCCGAGGGAAATAAGTGATTGCGAATTCTATTCATCGCTTACTCATTTATTCCCTTATTTCCTTCAAGACACATTCATCTACTCTGTTGGTTGGGCTGGGCAATGCCAAACACCAGAGACATCACAACCTAGGACCCTGCCCTCAAGGGTCTCCCAGTTGAGGGTGAGGGATACAGACTTGGACACAGACACTCCCAGCCCTATGAGGTCAGGGCTTAAGTAGGAGGAGAGAACCCAGGCTGGGAAAGGCCAGTATGTGGGCATGGTTTCCCAGACGGGGTAGGCATTGGCGCTAGGGCTTTGGCAGATGAATAGGAGTTCAACATTCCCACCAAGGAGACACCTTCTCACGATCACCAACTATATAGTTCAGTGTGTGCCTCGTGGGGGGGAAAGCAGGAGTAAAGGCTTGTGGTCAGTGGCAGCCAAAGGAGGCTTGTGAGCAGGGGCTCACCCATCCCCAATCCTATGTCCCCCCCTCCCTGGCAACCCCTTTCTCAGGCTCCTCTTGCCTCTCCAGTCACACCTCTTCCCAAAACACCCTCTTCCCAAAAGCCTTCCCTGATTGCCTGCTGTCTGTGCCTGCCCACTGTCTTACCCGCCAGGACAGGACTGACCAGTTCTGGGTCTCCAGGATGCTGGCTTGACCTCCATGATTCAGTCTATACTTAGAAGCCAGTTAAGATGAAGCCCCCTGGGAACTCCTCCAGCAGTGGCAGGAGGGAGGGTGAGAGGGAGGCTGAGGCCAGAACGGGGCAGTGGACAGAGTGGCTCTAACCCCGACCTTGACCCTTGAAAGATCCCAGGAAGGAACTTAACGACCCTGGGCCTCCACCTTCCCATCTGTCCAATGGAGCTGTTATGAGGATGAAATGACTGAGGGTAGAGCACTGAGAAATGTTACTGAGCACAGTCACTGATAATTGTCTATGCTGAGAGTGTTAGGGGCAAAAATAGAATATTGGGGACTAGCTATGGTTATGGGAAATATTAACCATGCTCTGTTAACCATGACTGTCTTGTTCTGGTTAAAGAAAGGACATTCTAACCTGGCTGGGAATTGTATCCCCACCCAGGACCTGGGAGTCAACCTTGGAATGTGGTCCATTCTCAGTCAAGAACTGCCTATTATCATGGAAAGATTAACAACCTTTTCACCCAAAAAATGGAGTCCCACCCAGCCCGCATAGCCTACTTCCCCATGTCTGCAACCCCTTCTTCCCCATGTAATCTTAGTCCCACTCGATATAAGCAGCTGGTTTATGGGGGTTTGCAGAGCAGATTTTTGTGGATGACCTGCTGCTCTCCCATACTGCTGGAGGTATTGGAATAAACGCTCATATATGATTCAACCCTGTCTCAAGTAGTGACAAACAGCCTGGACCCATTGGTTGTCTAGTTTCAAGAGGATATTCAGAAAGAAGTGCAATTTGGCCTGGCTGGTTAGCTCAGTTGCTTAGAGCATCGTCCCAATACACCAAGGTTATGGATTCAATCCCAGGTCAGGGCACATATAAGAAACAACCAATGAATGCATGCATAAGTAAGCGGAACAACGAAGTGATGTTTCTTTCTCTTTCCCTCCCTCTCTCTCTAAAATCAATAAAAACATATTTTAAAAAATAGAACATGTCCCTTAATTCTCACATGACGCTATTATCTCCCATTTTACAGATGAGTAAACTGAGGCACAGAGAGGATACATGGTTCCGCTGACAATACACAGTGAAAATGGCAGAGCCAGGATTTGAATCCCAGCCACTTGGCTTTAACACTCACGCTATTGTCCGCTGACTATGAAGCTTCTTACACAATCATGAGATTTCAGATGAAGATTTTGAAAGTGGCTAAAAGCAAATTCCAGATGGATCACCCTTCCCAGAAAAGAGAGAAAGAGAGAGAGAAAGAGAGAGACAAACTATAAACTACTCGAAAAAAACATGGGAATTAAAAATAATAATCCTAGTTTGTTAAAGCATGACATTAAACCCTGAAGTCTTTAATTAAAAGATTAATAACTGACTACAAACACATATAAAATTCTTACACACACACACACACACACACACACACACACAAATACTAGACAGTCAGTAGACAAAGTCAGGAAAACTTTTCCAAGACTGATAGAGAAAAGGCTGATTCCCTTAATATGTAAAAAGCTTCAAAAGCTCAATAATGACCAAAGGCCAATAGAAAAAGCAAAAAATATGAACAGTTTTTGAAAAGGAAATACAGGCCTTAGCTGGTTTGGCTCAGTGGATAGAGCATCGGCCTGCGGACTGAAGGGTCCCAGGTTTAATTCCAGTCAAGGGCACATGCCCAGGTTGCAGGCTCGATCCCCAGTAGGGGGTGTGCAGGAGGCAGCCGATCAATGATTCTCTCTCATCATTGATGTTTCTATCTCTCTCCTCCTCTCTCTTCCTCTCAGAAATCAATAAAAATACATTTTTTAAAAAAAGGAAATACAGTGTCTTCTAAACACATGAGAGGAAGTCATTTTCACTCACGGTAAACTAGATATAAAATAAAACTACCATGAAATACCTTTTTTAAATGAAATCTGTTAGGTTGCTGAAGGTGAAAAAGTTTGATAGTTCACCATGTCGCTGGGGTTTGGGGAAAAGAGCCATCCCACAATTTGGGGTTTGGAGTGTGAAGCAGTATAATCTCTCTGATAATAGCTCTTGAAATAACACACTAGTTCTATCCCTCTGGGAGTCTACCCAGGACAGATTACAGCCAGCACAATGCGTGTGCTGAGCAATTTACAGCAAACCATGAGGCTCGCTCATCCAACAAAGGAGGAAAACTGAGGCAGACAGAGGGACGTGGTAGAACGAGGGTGTGCACTCTCTCCAGGGAAGGTGAGCAGGCTGGCTCTACCTGCAGAACCAGGTCATCACGGCCCCAGCCACCTCCCTTATCAGGCGAAGCTCCAGGCCTCACGTGTCATACCTGTTGATGTCTAGGATAGATCAGAGCAAGGCCCAGGGACACTTGGCTTTAACATATGGAGGCCAAGCCGGCCACACTGAGCCCTGTAAGTGTTGGGTGCCAGTTCCAATTAATTCTGACTTTCTCATTAAGCTGTTAGGGAAAGCCAGGTGGCTGTGGGCAGCAGGCCCTGGGCTTGGGCTGCTGGATTAGAGGAATCATGGTTTCTGCCCGGAGACACTATTATCTGTCAGGGGCAATTATCGAAGAGCCGGGCGGACAGGGACAAGCTGGAGAATCCCTGAGTTCTGGAACCTGGGAGGCTCAGAACCGTAGGATCACTGAAATTGCGGACTCCCAGCATCTTGGAAGGCCTGGCGCTCTAGACCCTCAGAATGCTCACCCCTCCTCATGAACATTCTAGAATCCAGGGCTCACTAGTAGAAGGGTCAGGGTTCCGGGTAGTAATCAACACACAGGTCACTTCTGGGTGTCTTAGGGGGCAAAGGAATGTTGGGGAAGGTTCTGAGGGGTTCAGAGGATCAGTGGGAAGTGAGAAGAACAGGTTTTAAAAACGGGCCAGAATGCATGGGTCCTCTAAAGCAGAAGGGACACGTGGGTGGGGCCGGTGTCCCCCAATACTGCAGGCAGACAGGAAGGGAGGGGGAGTGCTGTGCCAGTTTGCCCCTACGGGTGACATATCCACTGAATTTGGCCAAATTCTGGAATCACAGATGTTTAGTCTCTCTTAAAAAAAAAAAATTCTGCTCTGACCTGTCACTCTTTTTTTAAAAAATATAATTTATTTATTTTTTACAGAGAGGAAAGGAGAGGGATAGAGAGTTAGAAACATCGATGAGAGAGAAACATCCATGAGCTGCCTCCTGCACACCCCCTACTGGGTACATGCCCAAGGTACATGCCCTTGACCGGAATCGAACATGGGACCTTTCAGTCCGAGGGCCGACGCTCTATCTCCACTGAGTCAAACCAGTTAGGGCGATGTTTAGTCTCTTGTGACACAAAAGAATTTTGTCCCCTGCCCCCCCGACCCCCGCATTGATTTTTAGAGAGAGTTGGAGCAAGGGAGGGGGAGGGGGAAAGAGAGAGAAAAACATCAATGTGAGAGAGACACATCGATTTGTTACTTCCCACACATGCCTCCACCCAGGTCAGGAGCAAACCTGCAACCCAGGTAGGTGCCTTTGACCAAGAATCGAACCCACAATCCTTTGGTGCATGGGCTAACACTCTA